GCGGTGCGTGCAGCAGAGACACACAGATCACATCTTCTTTAAACAAAAAGATCAAAGAGAGTGGAGACGTCTAGTTTGAAGGTGACTTGTCCTTGCCGACAGTGAGCAGTGGCGAATGTATCACCTCGTGTGTAGACACACCACTGCTGCTTCTGCCTTTGGGACTGTGTGTGGTTGTGGCAGTGTTCTGAGCCACGGAGTGTGGAGTTGCGACTTCTCACGGAGAGTATGTGCCGCGTTCCCTGCGGGCTTTCTTTTTTTGATGTTCTTTTTAATGTTGTTTACATGGAACAATGGGAGTACCTTTTTCTTTTGTTTTACTTAATGGTCAGTTGCTGCGCACCGTCATGAGCGAATTGTTTTCCCTCTTGATTGCTTCTGTTGCCCACACGCGGTACAGGCACCACGGCTGTGCGTTCCACGGACGACACAAAAGGAGGAGTGGAGAGACAGGCCGGATGCCGCATGAAATGTGTGGGATGTTGTGTGGGCTTGTGGAACAGCAATAATTTTTTCCTTGTGCAGGCACTGTACGCATGTACATATAAACACAGTCCTGCATTGCTGCATGGCGTATGAAATGATGATTCTGCCGAAGTGTATTTTTTTTGAGGAGGAGACTCCTGTTGGGCGCTCAACTACTTTTTTTGTTTTGGTATTGCTTTTTTACTTCTGGTGTGCAGGTCAGTGTGCGTTCCTCTGCAGGGCTGCTGCCGTTGTTTACTGTGCGTATTACTGTGTGATTTGTCTCTGCCTTTTGCTTTCACTCTGCGTTGACGTGTTGTTAGTTTGTGCTGAAGGCCACACGCAAGTGACAGGAGTGATGGCGATGATGATGACTGGCCGTGCGCTGCTGGTGTGTGCCCTCTGCGTGCTGTGGTGCGGTGCGGTTTTTGGCTACGCGATGGAGGATTACTGCGGTGAGGGTGGAGGGAACGGTTTGAGGCACACGAGTAATGGTGGCGATGACGGCGTGTCTCTAAAGGCGGACTGCGGGTTGTTATCGACTCGAATGGCATTAATAAAGGCGGTTGAGGCTGCGGATGGAAAAGGATTGAGTGGAGATCCACTGGAAACATCTCAGGATTCATCACCTGGTAAGAAATTGGACGATAAGACTTCGGGCGGTGGAACGCCTGGTTTAGGAGGCGGTGTTGCAGGTCCAGCAACAGCAGCAGCGGCAGCACTGGAGCCCGGAGAATCAGGTAGAGGTGAACCGAATAGGGAATTGGAAGTAGCGGATACAACTGGTGAGGAAAATGCCAACGATAGAAGGAAAGGAGCTGAACGTAATCCCGAAAATCTAAAAAATGGTCAATCTTCCTCTTTTTCGTCTGGCAGCCCTGTTACTCTGGGTGGTGAAGGACGCGCCTCGGAAAAAAATTCCAAGGCTGCTGAACCCTCCGAGGATGGGCCGAAAGTAACAAAACTATCACAACAAAAAGCAGAAGGAGACAAAGGAAACAAAAATGATACGATACTCATAGGGGTACATGAAAATCCAGAAAAAAACACAGAAATACAAACAGCACCACCACCGCCTGCAAATAATGGAAAGTCCAGTCCTGAAGATACCGTGCGCATGCAACAGCTACAACAAGTTCTAGATGGCATTGGGTCAAACAACAACTCACAAACAAACAGCATTGCCTCCATCGCAGTCAATAAACACAATGAACCATCTGGCGCCCATGCAGAATCAGGGCCACCATCACCCACGGCAAACGGTGATGCCGTCAATAATGAAGCTGACAATAGCACTGAAGACGGCATGCCAAACAATGGCCCAGCAGCCGATGGTGCAGGGACACGAGAAAAACAAAATGAAAATAAAGATGCCAATCCGAAAGAAACACCAGTGACGGCCGCAGCCATGAAAACTACAACGGCGACGACTGGCGACAGTGACGGCAGCACCGCGGTCTCTCACACCACCTCCCCTCTTTTCCTTCTTCTTGTTTTTGCGTGTGCAGCTGCTGCTGCGGTGGTGGCCGCGTGAGAGTGAGGGAGAGAGAGCCGTGCACCGCCCGCACACACACTCGTCCTTCTCTCTGTGTGTGTCCCCTTGCATGGACTCTCGCCCTCACCTCACCCCACGAGGCACACACAATAATGTGCCCATTGTATATATGCATGCACACCCATGCAGACCCGTTGGTGCTCTCTTTTGCACGACACGCACCGCTGCCGTCCTGCCTGGCCGCATGGGCGGAGCACCGCAACTGTTTCTGTTTTTTGTCCTCTTATGATTATTTTAATTGTTTTTAATTTTCTTTGCTGTTTGCTTTAAAATATTTTAAATGTTTTTTGTTTTTTCTGGTTTTGCGAGTGATTTTTTTTCTTTTGTTTTTTGTGTTTAATTTTACTTTTTATTGTTCTTTTCTCTCATTTCCTTTTTTTTTTGTTTTTGGGGCAATCACTATGGACGTTTTTTTTCTTTTCTACTCTTCCCTCTTTAATTGTTTCTTGCTGCACTCTTCCTGTGAGGGGTGCCGTGTGTTTCCGCCCAACTGCTCCACTCGCACACCCACCGACACGCTCATGACGACGGCCCTGTGCGCCTCGCCTGCTGCACGCATGAGGAGGGGCCGCGACGAACGGCGCGCTGAGGGAGCCGTGACGTGTGGGCGTGCGACGAGGGCCTGTGGGGCGGAGCACACATTTCTTCCCTCTTGTTTTGTTTTCTTTGCGGCCAGGGCTGGCAGACACCCGCAGCGCCACACACACAGCCACACCCTGCCGCCGTGTTTTTCTTTAAGGATTTGTTTTGCTTTGCGTGTTTATTTCATGCGGTGGCGCACCCTTCGGTGTCGGCCTCGTGAGCATTTCTCTCCCCTCCGATGATTTCTTTTTCTTTTGCTGCGCTCACTCTCCCGATGGAGTGACGCGACTCCCGTCATGTCTGCGTGCTTCTCTCAGTCCCCACACACACGAGTGACTGTGCTCTGCGGGCCGCACTCACGCGCCGATGAGAGGGCTGAGGGGAGCAGCAACACGCAGATGACCCCATGAAATATAAACGATGTGCGGACACACGGAGGGTCGGACGGTTGAAGCACACGCAACCATCCTTTTAATTTTCTTTTGTGGGCAAAATACATACAGACAGTTTGGTGTGGCCACACGGCAGCCAGGCGATTTTTTTCTTATTTTAAATTTGTGTGGAGCAGTAATGGAGGATTTCTTTTCATTTATAATTATTTTGTGTGATGGGGTTTACATAAGACGAAGGGGACGTTTTTTGTTTTCAATAAATATTGTGTGAATTGCCGCTGCTTGGGCTGCAGTGCAGTGATGAGTTTGAGCGGTCTTCTTCTTCTTGTTGTTTCCGTTATGCGTCCCCGCTGTACATTTTTGTGCGTCGCTCCACATACTCTGCTCCCTCTTTTCTACTTCTTTGCTTTGTGTTTCTGCAGGCACACACAACCACACACACACAAGATGCACATTGCAGTGGATTTGAATGCACCTTTTGTGGTGCATGCTGGCAGTTGCGTGTGGTGGCTGTTGTCTTCTTCCGTGGCCATGAGGAGGAGGGAGAGAGGGAGCGCACCCCGAGACTATTTTCCTGTGGGTGATGCACCGCGTGTGACTGCGCTGAGTTGGGCTCCGTGTCCCATTGATGGCGGGATGGCAAGAACTTTTGTGCCGCGTCATGGATGGATGAGGGTTCGCTTGCTCCGTGTGCGTTGCGTGGTGGCCGCGGGGTTTTGCCATTTCCCTGGGGCTGCGGGAAAGAGCTGGGGGAGATGGTGGTGGATGTCTTCTCCTCCTGCATGGTGGGTGGCTGCTGGCGTTGTGTGCCTCCTTGCGTGGATGCCGTCTCGTGGTGTGTGGACTGTGCGGCTGGGCCTGCTGCCCTCTCCTCATGTTGTCTGCTCTCTCGCTGTATCCGCTGTGCACCGTCCCTCTCCCTCTCGTTCCATTCTTTCTCTTCTGTCTCACCGATCGGCTGACTGGCTCCAGCGACTCCACTACGGGCGATGATGACTGCGATGGTGACAGTGCGGCGCCGTGTTGGTTCTTGCGCTCTTGTGCTGCTGCTCGTCCGTGTGTTTGCTGCTGGGAGTCCTGGACATGTATCTGGTGATGCGGAAGCGGTGGTTGTGCCGGTGGATGTGTCGTGTGCTCCGAGTGACGGCAGCCTGAGCTATCGCGTGCTTGCTTGTTTTGTGGGCGTGGAAGAAGTGTTCTGCTGCCGGTGCTGAGGTTCAGTATGAGAATTACACTTTCAGTGGCTTTGATGTGCGCATGCATGGCAGGAATGGTGAGCTGTGTGCTGTGTGCCATGTAACCAATGCGGTGCACACATGTAGCAACTGTGCTGCCAGCTGTGTAGCGGAAGAGGAAGAGACCACCGTTGCCTTCACGATGAATGTGACGACACATAAATACGCCGGTCCTTATGAATTGTGGTGGCGTCAATTTTCCCCCGATGGAACCATCCATCCGCCTGCACGGAGCAGCGATGCTGACCGGACGGGCATCTGTCAGTTGCCGCCACCCCGTGAAGGGAAGGATGACACAAAATCTGGTGGGAAAACTGCGCCGCAAGTTAATGCTGAGCCGTCACGTCAAAACGAGGATTGGCGACAGTCTGCGGCGGCTGACGGACCCAACACCGTCGATCCGAGTCCCGCATCTAACACGGCGACCAACACGTCCGAGACGAGGCCTGAGTTTGCCTTTGTTCGGAACATAAAAGTGACTCCGGCACCACCCGGAAGAAGGCCCACGCCTGTCACCGAGCCGCAGG